AACCCTAACCCTAACCCTAACACAACCCGACGGCATCCCTTACTCTAGATGAATTCTGTCATGGCATCCTCATCCACCTGCTCCACCGAATACTCACTTATAATCTCCCTCCGTTTCCATCCACTACTGCTCTCTACCTGCGTAATAATCACCGACTCACTTACCTCACCGTTCTGTCCTCTACGCCCGGACTGCTGTACGAAACTGGTCAATCTATATGGCCGACCAATGTGAATAATTCTCACAATTCCCTTAATGTTGATCCCTGTCCCTAATGCTCCTGTGGCCACAATCCACCCACCCTCGCCGCCAATCCATTGCTGTAAAACCTCGCCCTTATCGTCTGCCTTTGCTCTATAAAACGGGCACTTCAATTCCTTGCTGATGAACCCACCGGTGTCATAACTCCGTACGTATATGACCCCTCGACTTCCTGCGCTCAATGTCGCCTGCTGCACATACTTGATGGCAATTTCCGACGGTGCCTCGTCCTTGCTGTCCCTAACCTGATATCGGATTGTCTTTCGTGCTGTATTCCGCCGGAAAATCATTGTATTCTCAATGCATAACCGCTCCCTCAACACATCTTCTAACTCAATCATCAACGTGGCCGTCAATCCGGTAAATGGACAATTCAAATACCGTAACGTCCACAACTCTCGCAACCGCTCCCGGTACGATGTGTCTGTGTATGTAACATGGCACTCGTCAAAAAACACGTGGGCTAACTGCCCTTCCAATTCCAACCCTTTAGCATAATGCCTAAACCCTCCCTCTACCGCTCGATCTGCGCTGACCACAATCAACTGCTGCAATTCATGTCCGGACTGCTCATTGATCCACTCCTTACAATTCAACCCAGCTGCCTCCCCACAGCTGACAATGTCATCCACCAATGCTGCAAATGGCACTACTACAATCACCGTCTGCTGACGGGTCATGGCCGCCACCGAAAAAAACAATGCTGACTTCCCACTGCTAGTGGGCAACACAATGACTAATGGCCGTGTCAGCGATGGGTGGTGCACTAACTCTAATGCTGCCGCCTATCCTTCTGACCGTGGCTTCGCATAGCTGTCATGGTAAATCCGCTGCAATCCAATCAATGCTTGGTCCGACATATCAATCCGCTCCCTCTTAATCGGACGGCTGACCAACGCCTAGCTGGCCTCGCGACGATGACCTGCGCCCTTAAACCCCTGATCCCCTTTTTTAGCCATCTTCCACAATCCGTGCCACGCAATCGATGCCTGCTCATATGCCGTCACCAACTCGGGCCCTAATCGATGCAAAAATGCCCCATCAATGGCATAATGTGCCTAGGCTACCCGCTGCCCGTGCCCGGACTGTCTGTTCTCATGTTAACCCAATGTCACTAATTTCGGGATACCTAACCACCTACCTAACCATAATATGTCGAAATGTATCCAATTCCAACTCCTCCTCATCATCCCCTTCTGCAAACTCCTCATCCCCATCCTCTGCATCCTCGTTCTCCTTCTCCCATGTCTTGCTGGCTCGCATTAAATGCCGTGTAGCGATGCCAATAGCGACATGCCTCTAACCTGACGCTGTCAACCGCACCCCTAACTGCTTCCTAGTGGTGGCGCCCAATGCTTGGCTGAACTCCTCCCTGGCCTATAGCCCACGTCCATCCCTAAACAAATACTCTGACTCCCTCTGGTCCAACGCCCGCGCAAATGGTCTGACCCTGACCAAATACTAGGCTAATATCTGACCCACCTCTTCTGGTAAACACTGCACAATGTACTCGGTGTTGCCTCGTCTCTTTCGCGCCTTGTCATACATGGTTAAAAAACACATCTGTCCATTGATGACATATATGTTCCGGGCTGAATAAACGCTGTTATTGACCTTGATCGAACCCAATTCAGGCCCACGTGCAGGCTGCCCCCTAGTGACATGCATGCACACCATCAACTTACGCAAAAACTGACGCTCTCTGGTCAAATACGCCTGGACTTGCCCATCAACCCACTCCAACTCTTCGCTGTCTGCCTTTTTCTTTAACATATTCTACTGGCCATCCCCCCTCTAGGCTCGTTCTAACAAATTCCGGTAATCTCCCTTGACCTGGTCTTGATTCTGGACATGATCGATGAAACTAAACCCTTGCCGCCGGAATGCCTGGCTCCACGCTATGCTGTCGACGATCCGCTCCAAATCTATGGTCTTAACTGGTGATTCAAATGTCAACACCATTAATAATTCCTGTAATTCACGAACCAACACCTCGCACATCGTCTCTATCTTGGCTAACTGCACGGGCTGCCCTAAATAATATATCGTCTGTTCGTCATCTAACTAATGGACGTTGGACGGCGACTGATGGGTCTTGTTGAACTTCTTGCCCATGGCTAACTGGGTTAAAATGCTGGACGTCGGTGAAAATGCCCCCTCGCACAAATGCTTTCGACGTAACTTATGAATCCGGTCGGGGATCGATTCGATGTCAGCCTTGCTCTGTAACCGTAACTTAGGCCATGGTTCGCACAGAACGGCCACCTCTAACATGACTAAACGGTTGACCTATAACATGCCTGCTAAAATCCCTGTATAAAAAAATGCAGAACGTAATGTCTGACTCTGGCTGTCGACACCTCACACGGCTAAATAATGCATCATAGGTGAATTATATAACCTAATGCGACTAGTGTCCTGCATCACGGTTAACATACACAAACACATCAACGCATTTTTCAACTGGGTTTCTTCATTCTCATCACATTCTAGGTCATTCTCCTTCATCTCTTGTCGTATGCGCTGAATACACTTCCATTGGGCTTGGGTGTACTTGACGCAGGTTTCTATGATGCGGGTTAATCTTCATACAAAAATTTCTAATAATCTGAATATATTTGAAAACAATTATTTTACCGAAACCATATTTCAACCCAAATAAATCAACTCACCCGTCTCATCTGTCCATTCACTAATGGGCGCTGTTCGCATCATATAACAAATAAAACTCTCGAAAAACTCGCTGTATTTATCAATGCTCTTCGCGTTCTGTGGTAATTCAAATGGTCGTTGGCTGGCGGCCTCATTCTTAGGCGACGACCACCACTTCAATGCATCCTTGTGGTCGGTGGCTTCCAACGTATCCAAACATCGTTTGAAAATGCCTTTCTATGCCTGTAATAATCGTCCTAATTCGGGCTCGTCGGGATCGGGTTTCTAGGTGAAATTGAACGTTTTGACCATATCATGCTTTGACTGGCTTATCACTTCATTCCACTTAGTGTACTGCAACCACGAATCCATCTCTACTGCAGGCACATTCTTTAACAACGTCAATCGTCGCTCCTGGGCGCTGTCTTTCCATTTCTCAATGTCCTGCACTATCTTGTCAACATTACCTTGGTTGCCATGCCCCCCGTTATCTGTAACCCTAACCCCAACCCCAACTTCGTCGGTTTCTTCGCCTACGTCTCGTGTTCTCACCCGACGGGCCTGGCGCTCTTGCTCTTGACCCTTAGCCTCATCAACTATCCAATATCGCGCTCTCCGGTCATCAAACCATGACTGTAACTGGACAATTTCGTACAACTCTTCGTCTGCAACCCTCTGCTTGTTGTGCGCTTTGTTGCCGTGTTGTTTTAATGCGACCCGGCTTTGGGTCATATACCTGCAATCCTGGCATTTCAAACTGTATATGCTGGGAATGATGGGTTGCGGGGCCGATCCATCACTGGGTAATGTGACTGTGGTATGGTCGTATGTAAATGGGAACTCCTTAATATACTCTTCTACCTTCTTTCTTAATTCAATGGGTGTTTTATGCTTGTCTGCTAAATGTCGGGAAATGGCGGTCGGCTGTAATGCGTATTTGCACTGCAAACAAACCAACACATTAAATTCCACATTCAACGCAATCAAATGGGTTAATGCTTCGGGTATGGGTTGGGCCATGATTCTGCTTTACTGCGTGTGATTTTCAAGTTCATCGGACTGCTTTGTGGGCTGCAATTGTGGGCTTGGGGTTAACTCAATCACGTCGTGTTTGGGTTGGGTCCCCGCACGGTCCGCACCTTATTTTCCCCATACAAAAAAAACCCAATCACGCTGTGATTGGGGATTACTACAAGTTAGGATAGGTGGGTAGGTGGGTAAAGGGCAGGTAGGTGAAGTAGACAGAGAGTGGGGTAGTTGGTGTAGAAGGTGAAGCTGTAGTAGAGAGTAGATGATCAAGGGTGGTAAGAGGGGAGCCGGGGGAGGGGTACTGCGATTGATATAGGCCAAGGAGGCAAGTGTGTAAGTGAATAACCTACCGGACGAAAAGTGAATCACAAAGGGACATAAATGTGAATGACCTATGAGACGAGATTGAATCACAAAGGGACGTGAATGTGAATAAGCTGTAAGGCCAAGGTGAATCACAAAGGGACGTGAATGATGATGTCAAGGCGAGCAACAAGGGACGTTCAAGCGAGTAATAGAGAGCAATAAATAGAAAAGCAAAGGGAAAGGTCGACCTATAACAAAGGGACATAGATGATAGAGAATGAAGGAGAGCTGGGGTTCCGATAGATGCCCCTATTAGTATAGCTCGAATTGGATGAGCGCAGCCGCTGCAACCTTGACCCCCCAGATTGCCTTGCCGCCTCCAAAGCTTGTTGCTCTGCCGCACCATCCCAGGAACTCATCGACATCCCCAAACCTCTGCTGGAACTGCTCTAGCAGCCACTCCTCCGCACTGCTGCCACAGAAGATGCCATAGCAGAGCGGCATGACGATGTCAGCATAGAGGCAGCTCTGACAGTCGTGATACGGGCTGATCTACAGCCCCCTGCGCCCAACAGCGTCCCTCGCACGACTGCGAGCCTCGAAGAACTCGGACCGGCGCCAGCATGTAGGGAAGGCGTGGTCCCATGCGTTGCCGAGCGCCCTGCAGAGTAGGCATGTGCCCTGGACCGCAAGGAGGTCCTCCTGGTATCGGCTGAGCTCGAGGTCGGCCAGGCGGCGCTTCTCCTAAATAGCTGCGCTGCCGGTAGGCTGGAGGGCTGGGACGGCAGGGGCAGCAGGCAGCGGAGCCCGAGCCGGACCAGCGCCGCAGATGTCACACGCAGCGTCCTCGTCGGCCTGGCATTGTCGCCGCCAGTGCAGCTCCAGGTCGAGGTGTTCGCTCAGGCAGGTCCGGCGGCACTCCTAGCCAAGCAGGTAGCGATGGCGTAGCTAGGGTGATTACACAACCTCAAAGTAGCGAACGTGCCGGTTCTCCTTGAAAAAGGTTTGGAGAAAGCAGGCTGTATACTTCTTGGCTTGCCTTGCTCGCTGTGGCTGAAGCTGATGTATGTCGGATACATGCCGGTGCATTGTCTTCTCGCTGACTGTATAAAAAAGGGGTCCAGCTGCACAGGCCTCACAACGATAGCCCTTAAGTAGCTAGAGACCAGTGATTGCAGGACTGCGAGGTAGAGGTAGAGTGACATCCTTAGGCTAGGCAAGCTCGTACTAGGCGAACTGCTGGACTCGGGCCTTGCAGACTAGGCCGAGGATTCTATGAACTGTTCGTAGGTGTCGGTACCAGGCTATCTCTGTTGTCTGAAGGGCTGACTCGCATATTAGACAGAGCAGCACTTTGTACTGACTCATATATTGGAAGTCTACAGTTGGAGAGGGAGGACTAGGACAGTGTCGCTTCGCTGGCAGATCTAGCGTCTGGTGGCTCTGCTCTTCTATGCCTAGGCCTCTCTTTGTAGAGCAGCCCTCTAGCCTAGGGCTAGGCACAGGGGCACGCAGCTGGAGTAGACGCAGCAGGCTGTCGGAGCGGCACTGGTCGCGGTAGTGCTGTTCGTTCCACTGCTGCCAGAGAGTAGAGAGGCGTAGGTAGAGCTCGAGCAGCTCGGGCTGGAGCCGGGTTGGATAGGAGCGATCGATTGCGTAGCTAGTTAGCAGCATCCGAGTGCTGTGCCCAGCACCCATAGCAAGGATGCTTGCTGGCTCAGAGGCAGACTTAGGCTCGTAGAAGTTGATCTACTCAACTAGCTTGCTAATGTAACGCTTAGCGATGGCAAGAGACGCCTAGCGATATAGCGCGAGGCCTATTGGTGATGGTAGGTCTTTCGTTGCACCCTAGAGTATCTCAGTGGCCTGTAGGGAGGACAGGTGCCTCCTCTTCCTCCTAGGATCTTGGAAGAGGAACTCTAGGGCTAAGCAGAGGTGGGCAAGGCTAAGCTGGCGATATAGGAAGTCTATGAACGGCCGGATGTAAACGAGGTACTAATAAACGGCCCTTCCAAGTGCATTAGGCAGATATCGTACAATGTAAAACGAATGGTTGTTTGTAGCCCTTAACTTGTTATATTCAAACACAATTGCAACACGGCCATTGATGATGAAGACGTTCCGTATAGCCTGCTCCGTATTGCAGACTCGGACAGCAGTGATCTCTAAGCCTCGCGCTAGGAGGCCTGCTATGACATGAACTGACGTGAAGATCTCGTTCGAGAGCTGGGCCCCAAGCTCGGCATACTTAAGACACCCAGCACTTATCCAGCGACCGCCCTTTACTAGGCCGAGGGCTAGGGCAGACCAGGCACGGCGCGAGAGGGCCTTATAAGCAAACCTCACGTCGTTCTTCTCCTCGCGTAGGAACGACCAGCCAGCTCTCCTGCAGGTCAGGTCATCTCTAACTAAGCAGAGGTTAGGGGAGGGTGGTTGCCATCCAAGCATGGCCTGCTCTACCCGCTCCTCAACCTTCTTAATAGACATTGCATATAGGCAGGTGAGGTCAAGCACGCGAACTGCCTAGTGTGCAATTGAAAAGGATCGCCCGTCTGCAGCCCACGCCAGGTTGGCTCGCGCCCCCTCCTTCTTAACAATCGACTTCCCATAGGCGCGTAGCTCGATCATCTCTCCCATTAGATGAAACCCACCACGGAGTAGGTATTTGGTCCGGACCTGCTCGAGCCGCCTCACCTAGTCGCTATATGTATCCCGCGCAGGCCAGGGCTGTTGTAGGGTGGAGTAGGCACGCAGGGGCAGTGCGTATTCGAGGAGGAGCAGCCGGCCAACCCAGATCAGGGCCGAGAGCATAGGCGTGTAGCTATAGGCTGACTTGTATGCTAGTGCCCGCCGGTGAACCCCAAGAACACCAGTGAAGTGCACGAGGACTGCTGGGGCCAGGTCGCCAGTTGTGCTGCGGAAGGTCCAGAAGGTTATCGACAGCTGCAGCAGGGCCTCTGCCAGCTGGGATCTAGGGCTGGAGCCTGCGTCTCTCGCTTGTTAGCAGGTCCGACCTCCCTAAAAGTGGCCTGGGGCCAGAACTACCCCCGTGGGCAAGACTCACCTAGCCCCTCTAGGCGATCGCCCTTGCTATCAGGCAGGGCTTCCCATACAGACTCCATCAGGGCTGCTTCCCGTTCGCAGAACTGAACCCCGTAGATCTCCTGCCGCAGAGGCTCGCCTGTTGCCCAGACCCGGAATATGTAGCAGATGAAGCGCTTCCAGATCGCAATGTAGCGTGCGCGCCCAGCATCAGTCTGCAAGGGCTAGAAGGGTACTGGCTGGAAGTGGCGCAGGTGGTAGGTCCGAAGCCAGCAGCGGAGCTGGTGATGGGTCTGCCTAAGGGTCTCTTCAGCCCGGGCAAACATCTAGTCGGTAGCCTGGAGTAGGAGACGCAGCTTCGCCTCGTCAGCAGCAGGGCTCACAAACTCAGTGCCAGCCCAGTCTCCAAGCACATAGTCGTCGTCTGAGGACGTTGGCTGCAGGGTGCTTGCAGAGAGGATGTCGAGGGGGTGGTTCGCAAGCCGGGCCGGCCACTTTGTATACCTAAGCCAGAGCGTAGTCTCGTCGTCGTCGACGCAAGAGCGGCCATCGACCTCGTAGTCCTCATCTGCAGCCAGGAGGCGTGCGTCCTCCTCCTCTTCCTGGATTAGAAGGAGGGCGTCCTTGCTGGGTACCAGAGGCTCTGCTGCGCCTGCTGGCACGCACGCTGCATCTATACCCGCGCCTGCATTCGGAGCCATATCTTCGAATGCAGCGCTCACAGGTGCAACGCTCACGACTGTGTACACAGTAGGAGGAGGAGGAGCAGCACGCCTCCAGGAGAAAGGGGCTAGCGAATCAGCGGGCAGGGATCTGGCATTACGCCGCACGGCCGGCCAGGCCTACGGCGGGACGCGTTTGGCGGGAGGGGCCAGTGCGGCGTAATGCCAGGGGCGCAGCGAATCAGCGGGCCGGGATCGGGCATTACGGCGCGATGCCGCCAAAGCCTCTTAGGTGGTAGTGTTCAGCACGGATACTAAAATACCCGTGGTATCTAGGTATATCCTCGAGTAATTACCTACCTAGTGATATTTTAGGAGTATCTGGCGTATCCGGATACTCTCAAGTATGTATCTAGATACATGCTAAGAATAGCTAAGAATAGCCAAGACCTCTTTTTTCTAACGTCGTAAGACCTGTAGTAATGCTGTATAAAGTGATAATTATCCTCAAAATGAGCAACTCGTCGTTATTAGATATACTAACAGAGCTTAAGGGCTATAATAGCTATAATACTCATAATGAGCCAAGTCTGCTGACGCTGCCGCCCCCTATTTATATTTAACAGGATATTAATCCTACACTGCTCTAGCTTCAGCCTCTAGGACAAATGCTGCTACTAACGTCGTTAATACTATTCACAAAGCTATTATATTTGCAATTAATACTTAATAGCCACCCACCTACAGTTAAAGTAACTTGCTTGCAACTAGACTACAGATATTCACCTACTCTATAGCCATTAAGTTAGTGTTACGGCTAGCGTTTACAGCCGCACTTTCGCCGACACACCGGTTATAGTAGTAACAAACATGTTAGCGAGTTGGCCGCCCTTAAGGCAGGGTCAACATCAGGTAACGGAGTTTTCCCAGGCACCTGAGAATTGCCAGGTACCGGACAGAGCAGGTACCGGACTCTTTCCAGGTACCTGACTATTACTAGGTACCGGACAGAGCAGGTACCGGACTATTCGTGGGCACCTCCTTATGAGATCCCCACGTGATGGAATAACAGGAATAGTAAGAATAGCAACGGAGTTTGCTATTCCAACTATTCCCTTTAGCACGACGCCTCTATATAAGTAGATAGTTAGTTCTTAGATAGGAGCTTCGTGCTCAACTCAATATAGTATTTTGTTATATACTGTAACGTGTTTTACGAAAGCCTTTGTGTCTGATCCCCTGCCTCCTCTGTTAAGTAAACCAACGCAACGAAACCTCTGTAAGTCTTATAGTTTAAGACCCAGCGTTACAGTTAGACATTAACTAGTAATCTTTAGAAGCACTATACCTTAAAGCATCTAATAGTAGCATATATAATGAAAGGTCCTACGATTACACTGTTAAGCCTATTAAGTAGTGCATTGTTGTTTTTTTTAAGCTACGGCTATAGAACCTGCAAGTCCAGCCTGCTTAAGCTTAAGCATTAAATCGTAGAGCAAAATACCAAGAGTTATTACTCTCATTTGTTATATTAAATAACCTCTCCTTATAGCTTATTAAGAGCTATTCGTTCCATTAATTAGTACACTTCTTAAGCCTAAGTACTCTGTTGATATCGTCACGAACGCTACACTAAGAGCTATAGCGGCAATTCTCATATTACTAAGGATTGCTACAATTAGAACTCTAGTCTCATATTACCTATGGCGGCTAGATATCTATTACGACAGATGCATGGACTACATAGAACTATACTAAGTACACTACTGTTACAGGTCATTAGATTAATGAGAAGTGGCAGCACTAGTGTGTATTACTTAATGTAATCCACCTTTAAGAGCCAATTCATAGCAGCGAATATCTTGCTTAAGAGTTAGCTGCAGTAACAGATAGCTTTGAAATTACAGGTGCTATCTTTACTTATACGCAGGATAATGCCTTAGCGAATACTGTGATGCTTTTGGAATATGAGAAAATAGCTAGTGAGTAGTAGACGACTATTTAACAGCCATGGACGTTTACTATAAAGGAAGGGGACGTTTAGTGTATTACTTATATTATTAATCTTGCAGTTTAAGCTGCTCTAAAGAGCTTGAAAGCCAGCCTAGATATAGAAACAGAAGCGTACTAGTGTAAGCAAGGGCTTGCCTAGATTCCATAGCGTATTAATAACGCTTCTACTAAAGTATCAGCTACGCTTAAGAAGCTCTAAAGGCATATTTATGTCTTTTAAAACCAAAGAGCATAGAAGGATGCTTTATAGAAGTAGATAAAAGCTGTAGGCTAGAAGCCACGCTAGTTATCACTTAATATGCCTATACGCTGGAATTCAACGTACTATATGCTTAAAACAGCTATAAAGCTTTAAATACCAATTACTACAGTATGCTTAACGTAGAAGCTTAATGAGTATTATACTCTTACGACGAATCAGTAGTGTAAGCACTTAGCTGTTGCTACAATTTGCAACCTACAAATGAATCATACAGTATTTAAGAAGGTATATCCAAATGCTATAGACGATACATGAAGATTACGAGCAAGAGCGTAGTTCGAAGACGTTTGTAGAACGTACTAAAAGCGAGAGTATCACCTTAATATAGAGCGAATTACCTACAAAACAGCTCTTACAGAAGTAATAGGTGCTACTGCCACAATAGATCAAGAACCTAATTCCGACGAAGATCTATTTGCGTTAGAAGGCTTAGCTTTTCAAGAGCTAGAATAGAGGCGCTGGATGCTTAAACCACGGCCTGGTGAGCATACCGATATTCTTAAATATTAGTGCGCAAAGCAATACTAATATCTAGTTATTGCCCGTATTGCTTAAGATCATCTAGCAATTCTAGCGACCTCTGCAGCTTCTAAGCGGGTGTTTAGTAATAGAAGTGATATTATCACAAAGAAGCGGAACAGGTTGTTACCACCTTCTATTAGATATTTACTGTGCTTACGGAATTAGGGTAAAATACAGGAGGCTGATAGCGATGGTGACGATGCTGACGATGAAGCACCTGAATAGGGGCTTACGGAAAAGGGGGGGGTCTTGCGGAAAGGGGTTTACTATTATCAAAAGCTTCATTTTTTTTTATATACGCTATTCTATTTTTATATACGATATTCAGCCTCATGTATCCGGATACTTACCTACCCTACCCGTCAGATCGTCGCCGGGTATATACCCTACCTGTGAGGTTCACGGATACTACCCGGATACGTATCCGCCGAACACTGCATAAAGGTCTTTAGGCATGAAGCCTTATGGAGAGGATAACATAGAGGTCACGCATGCAATGATCAGAGCAACAGCAGCCAACCGAGAAAGTGGCAATTATGTGATGAGATTGCTGGCGAAAATACCAGGTAACATAATACTTACTGCTGATTTGATAGAAGTAGCGGCAAGAAACAAAGAGAAGGGCGAGGATATTATCAAGCTACTCTTAAATAGTGACAATGTTCAAATTGCAGATGGCTCAGTAGCAGCAATAGCAAAATGGTATGATGTTGAAGTACTAAAATTGTTAGTAGGTAGGCGAGGAGATGATGTGAGGATTACAGAAAAGGTGGTCAAGGCAGCAGCAGGGAAGTCAAAGAGTGGCGAGGTAGTGATGATGCTACTTCTCAATCATCTAGGAGACAATTCTAGATCACAGAGAAAATGGTTAGGATTATTGCAGGATCATTTCACCACATGGTCATGGCACTACTTCTTGATCGCCGAGGAGACGATGTGATGATTACAGAAGAGGTGGTCAGGGAAGCAGCAAGGAATTCCGAGAGTGGCACGGAGGTGATGAAACTGCTTCTCGACCGCCGAGGAGACGATGTGACTATTACAGAAGAGGTAGTAAAGACAGCTGCAGGGAATGCTGGGAGTGGCAAGGAGGTGATGGAACTGCTTCTCGATCGCCGAGGAGATGAAGTGATGATTACGGAGGAGGTAATTAAAACAGCAGCGGGGAATTCTGGATGTGGCAGTTGGGTGATAGAACTGCTTCTTGACCGCCGAGGAGACGACGTGACGATTACAAACGAGTTGTCAACGCAGCAGCACGGGATGAGGAATGCTCAATGCGACATATCCACAGGTAATGTCATCATAAACCAAAAAGATGGCAACCCTCGTGGTATGCCTTCTTAATAGATCTTGACCTTGCGGTTAGAGACAAGCGAGAAGGGTCATCAGGAGCACGGGGCAAGACAGGCACAAGAGCATTCATGGCAATCAGCGTGCTGACAATGAGAAGCACCCTTTCACGCATTATTTAGAGTCCTTCCGGGTACTCATCTGGATATGCATTTCAACGGGCCAGACGAGAAGTTGGATGTTCCGCAATTTGGGGCTGGCAAAGTTGAAATTAGGACCTGTTTCAATGATCGTGCTTAACTTGTGCTTAACTGTTGGGGATGGACTTTGGTGGTTTAGGGTTGGGGGTTGGGATGGATGAGCGTCAAGAAGGAGGCAAGATGCAGCTTCGGGGGGGGTGGTGTGGACGTAGGCACGAAGTTGCAAAGCCTTCTAAAGGTTTATCAAGATACTTCCTTGGGGATATTCAGCTGACATATGAGCGACGTCTTTTGGGTTCTAGTAGCGCAAGCCGAGGTAGTAGGGAGTTTGTGTGGTAGGTCAAGCGCGGGCCACAACCTACTGATGCGGCTGATCTGACTTAAGTAGACTACGTATATAGAGGGGCCGCGAATCTTGATCAGCATGGGTCGGACGAAACGGATGGTGTACTGCCTCGGGCACGAGACTCTACTCAACTTTCAGAAAGCTGACCTTCCACCGTTTCCATCACAGCGCATATGCCATGCTCGTACGGACACTTTTGGCGCCGTAGTGTACGCGCATCCACGGATCCACTCTAGGGCCGCTCCGATAATAACCCTGTGGCTGCTGCAGGGCTAAATTGTAAACCTCAAGGCAATGCATATGTGATGCTCGATCCTGCTGAGATTAGCCAGGGTTTCCAGTGTCCGGGCTTCTATATCACGTGGTTCCGAGCGCGTGATCTAGCTACGTCTTGCGAATTAATCAGGAACAGCCGGCGGATCAGTTATTCCGGCCAAGCCAGAAATGCCGTATTAGTAAGCCCCGATTATCAAGACATACCTGTATACAGCGGTTGTGGCTCACAGAGCAAATTCATGATTGCAGCAGCTCACACTCCGCCGCCATCGGCATGCTTCTATAGCTATGCCGCCGCGGACTCGCCGTCTTCCTCGCGAGGATATCACATACTCCGTTGCGCAGGACAGAGAAGTCAACGTCCTGCATCAGCTTGAATATTGCGACAAGAAAGACAGGTTCTTCGATTGTCTCTATCGTAAACGCAACTTGATGCAGGCAGTTGTGGCTCATCATTTGAGCCTCCAGTTACCCGATGCGTGCAATATAGCGGATATGTCGGAGTGGCTCCATGGCAGCTTCAACGTGTGTGTCCCGGTCACCATTTCGGCGTGGCAGGGGAAGCGCGTCCTTCTGCGGTTCCCACTACCATATCGTGTTGGAGACTCCTTTCAGCCAGGCAATGGAGACGAGAAGATTCGATGTGAGGCGGGCACCTATGCATGGCTCGACGAAAATTGTCCCGAGGTGCCAATTCCACGGTTATATGGCTTTGCGTTGTCCACAGGTCAGACGGTGTGTAGCGACAACTGGTAATTGAGATTTCAAATATTGATAATATCTAGTTCACACGGCTGGAAAGTTTACCGTTCGTCCGCCAATATATCCAACGCTTACGCCGACATGTCCTGTCGTGGCTCGGGTACCCCGTCCCTTCACGATATGTCCGACACGATATCGGAAGATTAGGTTTAGCAGATGCAGGCTATCTATTGACCGAGTATATCGAGGAAACACAAGGAGAGATGCTCTCTAACACATGGTTAGAAAACCAACACGATTCGAGGTTACGGACCAATCTTTTTCACGATCTTTCGCGAATTATCCTGAGTATCAGTCGAATTGCCTTACCAAGAATTGGCTCCTTTGTTATTGACAACGACGGGTTCTTGAGTTTAACAAACCGACCACTCTCGATAGAGATTCAGACATTGGAAAACGAGGAGGTCCCTACAAACATTCGAAGAGATTATACCTATACTACTGTCGATTCCTACATCGTCGATATGCTTGCTTTCCACGATAATCGCCTTCGGATCCAGCCGAATGCAATCAATGACATTGACGACTCTGTATCTCAGATGTCAGCCCTAGGGGCGATGCGTACGATTATGCCCCTCTTCTTGCGGCGGGAGCTGCGGCGCGGGCCCTTTGTTTTTACTTTGACAGATTTACACCAGAGCAACATTTTTGTGGATAAAGACTGGCATATTACCTCGCTGGTAGACCTGGAATGGGGATGCTCTCGACCTATCGAGATGGTGGAACCACCTTACTGGCTTACAAACAAAGGCGTCGATCAGATACTGCCGGACGAATACAACAAGGTACGGGTTGAATTCATGACGATTTTAGAAGAAGAGGAACTGTTGGCAGCGAGCAATACTACTGAGAGGGGGGGGTTGCGACTAGCAGATGTAATGAACCAGGCTTGGGAGATGGGGACTTTCTGGTATACGCTTGCGCTGTCAAGCCCGACCGGCCTTTTCCGTTTGTTTTATCATCACATCCAGCCCCGGCTCATTAGCATCCACGATGAAGATCCAGACAACGTCATGCCGTACTATTGGGCACAGAACGTCTTTCAGATTATATCGCGCAAGTTATCCGATAAGAAAGAATATGACTTGCAGCTTCGCAAAGCTTTCGATGACTCTACGATAGAGTAGTTGTCTTTCCTTATTTATTACCTCCACTGCTCGACGAACCGCCTTTCGCAACTTCTTTCTCAAACGCTTTACTCAAACTGGCTGCTGCCCGTTTGTTCCGATTGATATCTCTCTTCTCTTGCGCGGCTCGACCGGAGGAGCTAAGCTGCTGCAGGCTCTTGACGTTGCCCTTGACCCCAACCTTTGCCTCCTGCCCGGGTTCTGACTTCTTGGATTTGGATTCACTATCCATTGTGGACGCAGAGCCGGGAATATTCTTTCAAAATTTAGAAGCTTAAGCATACTGAGATATCTCCTACTCACCTTACTTCCTTAGCGGAGGGTTGATCTTCCCGAGACAGCTATGCTCACTGATAAGATGCTTTCGAAATTGTAATTCCACGAGAGCGAAGGTAATTATTTTCGTTATCAGGATTATACGTATTCTCTTACCCTTATATTATACGCGTCTCTGAAGTGCATGTCTCATGTGATAGATGATGAATATGCACCACGACGTGGCTGTACGCCTTAAAGGACTGGAGCCTAAATTATGCGGGATTCTTTCGGCCACATGCTTCTACGGATGCGGCTCTGCATATAAGGGCCTTAGCGTTGTGTTGTGGCTTCACTGGCCAACGCAAGGCTGCCTGCCTCAATCGTGGCACTTGGTTTGCTCCTGATAACCTCTGATCTGGAGAGGCTTGCCATGGCAGGAGGGCGTTGAGCCACTTGCGCTCTGGTAGCGACGAAAGCAGGGGAGCATGCGGAATTGAAGTTGACTCCATTCAGCAGGTCACAAATAAAGAAAGACAGGAAGTTTCAGATGCCACTGTCGCCTTGACATGGTTAGGGATGCGGACTGGTGGGGAATGGACCGTAAGGGCGATGCGATTTGAGGCTCCGTTGTGGAGCGTCACTCAGCCATAGAAGCCACACACCATTTATGTTGCAGGCGTGGCTGAAGGGCAGGCAGGGCTACACGAGACGTGCACCTCGCTCAGATAAAACGTGATGAGACTTCGATCTTCGCTCCTTATACGCCAAATCTTCATATTCTGCCTTCATAATTTTCGTCAGCTATAGCATCCCTCATGACCTTAATATCTCTGCATACCCTAACAGCATTAACTCCACGCCACAAAACATATCCACTATTCGAGAGTGGGAGGAGCTTCGAATCGTCTTGCTACAAATTTGATCATGTCCACAGGTGTCTCCAGTGGTTTTCCGACCTCAGCGGACTAACTCTCCATGAGTTCTAAGCAGCATAGTGGCTCTCGCGAAGCCTGGAGATGCCAAAAGGTACCATTTTCATGGGAAATTTGCATCCGGGCAGAAAAACTGTGGTCTTTTCCCAATATCGATTCTTCATCCTGCAACATCTACATGAAATCCTTAAAATGGACCTTGTACACTTCCCTTTCCTCAACTGACCAATCCCAGGGGTCAGGATTTGGTATCAACCAAGGAGGAGGAGCATTGAGAAATTGACGTGGTGCCGCGTAACAGAATTCCCAATCTATCAGCGCCTTTACCTTGAATGTTTTAGGATCCACAAGTATGTTCCTAATTCATACAGGATGGCTTGAATTTCCAATCGCATCATACGCGCGATCCGTGAATCTTCGGGGCAGTGCCCTGCGCAAAGTTCGAGCTGCCAATGATCTTTCACGGCCGCTGGAGCCGGCGGGGACGATGAGATGTAGAACCCCTTGGCCTTGTCATCCTCACCAATGTCAACGGGTAGCAGCTGAGAGGAAGCCGCGTTTTCAGCAGATACTAGGGTTAACGTGATTTCTAAAGAACGCTTGCTCCTCCATGTCTGAAGAAGATACAAGATCTATCCACCTCGAACCACTTCGACAACTCCAAGATCGAATATGGCGGCAGTGCCAATCTCCTTCCAACTCAACATAAAAGGGGCTGGGCATGTGATGAATGTCTTGCATCTTCCTTCTCGTTCTTTCAGCGGCTAGGTATGGTCTGGCGCCTATGATTGAGAAGACTAGTCTTAAGGGCAGCAGCTGTGGGTAGTATACCAACAGTCAGGTTCCTTGATTCGTCACAATTAACTGCAGAGCTCGATTATTCTAGGCAGCAGCTACGGGTGGATGAAACTCACAAGATCGCTCTGGGCAATTGCTGCCTCATGTTCTGTCATAATTTACCAGCATCATTCGCTAAACATCGCCAGCCTCAAGACACCTCAGTCGTTGAAAATAATTTCGCCTTTCACACTTCACCCTGAAGTCAGCCTTCCAAATGGCTTTGCCAGACCTTATTTTTCTGGACAGAATTGGAAGGGTACTGATTTCTACCCCGACGGTTCGTCCCGCCGTCGCTTATTGGATGATTGCGTGGAAGCAACCGATTGGGACGCGTTATGTCTCTAAGTTACGCCTCAACTCTCAACAATTCTATCAAATGCAGAATACTCCCCAATATCACCAATGGCCAATTTCACCTGGTTCGCCTGCTTGAATTCGAGAACCAGTCTCAATGGATCGCACGAATTCAACTGTGTAAGTCTACAGAAAGATTGGCCAAAAAGCTGCAAAGGGAGGTGGATTCAATGGCAACTGTCAGAGAACGCACAAACATTCCTGTGCCACAAGTATTTGGATACAAGACCAACGACAGTAATTCAGTTGGAGTCGCATTTATCCTGATGGAGTTTTTACCCGGGAACGTCGCTATGGACGCTGATGGTGGTTATAAAACTCATAACAGGGAGATTCCTCCTCAACACAAGACGAATTTTTACAACGAAATGGCCCAGGTTCAGGTAAGTACTCTGATATTATCTTCAAATAACGCCATGCATCTATCTGATAAGCACTATTGCAGGCAGAGATGACATCGGTACGCTTGCAAAGGATAGGAACCATTATCAAGGGCAAGATGGCAACTATGATATTGGCCCATTGCCGGATTTAGGTGGACCGTTTGACACTGCAACAGCCTTCTTCGAGGCATGGGCTGCTAAAGCCAAATTCCCGAAATCAAGGGATACAATTTAGAAGAGCATGAAAAATGGGCCACTGAACGAGGTGCTTTCATCGATCACAGAATTCCCTCACAGAATAAAGGCAGTAGGCAGTCGACTTTCTTCCTGTGATAATGGACCGTTTCCCCTCTGGCATCCGGATTTTCTTCATAGCAACATTATTGTCGACGAGAGTTACAGGGTACTTGGTGTCATCGACTGGGAAGGTGCGTGTACTGCACCTTGGGAGTTGGCGGAATTTCCACTTTTCTTGGAAACGGTGCCGTTCCCTACGGATGCACCTTGTAATTATGATGAGAGTGGTCAACCCTTAAATAAGAACACAAGGCGAAGGTGGCAAGAGCGAAAAGAATATGTCGAGAAGGTGGCAAATGCTGAAGTTTCTAAACAGATTGATAACAAGCTGTCGACAACCCTTGATAATCATGACGTCCAGAATTTGGCATACGCTGTGAGGGTTTACCTTGCCCTGGGAAATTAGGCTTTTACCACAAAGTGCTAGAGACTTTTGGAACGAAATATGTTAGATAAAAGCTTGCTAACTCTATTTGCCTTGTCTACTTTCCTGAGACGCGCTAGCCTCATATAGTGCCTATTCTGTGCACCGGACAATCATGCCTTCGGATGTGGACGATAGTTCTTCAGCTATAAATGAAACTGTTTTGATTCCTTGACGATGGCTTGAGTTGGTATATGTCTAGGGTGGAAGGGCTTAAAACGCTTTGACGATCGACCGTACTTCAAGCCGTAGACATCACCCAAAACCCAAGGCCCGAAATTGCAGACGGGCTGGATGTGTTTCGCGACAGGCCTGGTGAAAATATGCAGAACAAACTATGCGTCTGCCGATTTTTCAGGTTTCCCCAAGCCGTAGAACACAAAACCGTAACCGACAGTTTACAATTCAGGATTATTATCGGAGCGGCCCTAGAGTGGATCCGTGGATGCGCGGCCCCTCAGCTTAATGAGGGGCTGCGCATCGATACTATCCGGTGAGGGATGATTAGGATCATCGGATGGTGACCCTCAGCTTAGTCCACCTACTGCTGAACACCAAGCTTGGGAGGTTTCTGGGAAGATTAAATCTTTGTCATCTTCAAATACTCGTCGCTTGCAATGAAATGCCAACGACAGTCTACGACTATCTTTTTTCTAGTTTTAACCCTCAAAATTACACCAGACATCATAAGTCCTTCCCCAGCCCTCCAAAGCTTCCATCATGACCGTAAGTCGCCTCGAGACTCTACCAATAGAGATTTGCCGCATTATCATTGACTTTATCACGACCTGGACCGTCAAAGATTTGTCTTGTACGAGCAAATGGCTGAGAGAGGCATGCTTGCCGGCCCTCTTCCGCCATGTCGAGTTTCCATTCTCAGAGGCCGGATTCGACGGGCTCAAGAGTCTCGTGAAGTCAGATGCTCATTATAATGTCGTCTCCTTTACTTACGTAGTCCCGGAACTACCGAAGGCTGGTAATTATCTCTCCTATTATGCTGGATAATTTTCTTGGCTGACGCTGCCCCTAACCTCGCACAGAAATACCTAGATTTCGATAGTTTCAAGTTTGATCTGTTGACTCCTGACAGCTACGTGGAAACAGCGAAAGAATTGTACGATGCGGGTGATGATGCAGATGAAAGCCCTTCATAGATGGTCATCTACGAAACCTTACACGACATTTGTGAAATGCAGCGCAATATCGTGGACAACGGCGTTGACCTTTCAGTTCTATCATCTACACTTGGAGCGCTTCCTCGATTAACGGACGTGGGCTTGTCTTTCTGCAAGCCGCTGGAGGGGGAAGACCCGCTGCTGTGGTCCTTCGTTCCAAACATGACTGTAGAAGAAGAGTCCTTCGAATACCATGTGCGAGTCGTCTCCGATGCTATCCAGTGTGCCAGAAATAGAGTCGTTGCTATTCATACCATTAGCCTGTTGGGGTTTACCGTTCTGTATCGCAGTACCAGTGAGGCCCACGGAAAACACCTGCGAGGAAGTAATGTTAGTTTGCAATTCGATGCAATGCCAGAGCATTGGTGCAAGTGAATCGCGACGATGAACGTACCCATGCCAACATGATGAGAACATCATCCAAACCAATTCGAGCCTGGGTAATGACCAACCTCGCACACAGACGCATGGCGACAAAGATAGTCCCCAATACAACGGGGATAAGCTGGACAATCGTGAGAGCATGGCCCCTCCGCACCGGGTCGACATAATTCGGCTTCGGCCATTGCGATGTTACTTCTGGCGGTGGAAGTCTCATTATGGCGGTTTTGCAGTTGAGCCTGCCACGTCTTCAACAGCGTAGGGTTGGGCGGAAGTGATGAGGGGCTACCCTATCTATATGTGTACAAAGTGGAGCTTGTCTTGACGTCTCGAGGAACCAGAGTTCTCATCTCAGATCCGTGCTCTCGGGGATTAAGAAATCGCGAAAAATCTGGTGTGGACTACATCATTCCTAAAGTGCCTGGTAAGTCAAAGCTGCATGCACGAGTAGTGGGGCGTGCCGGCCACCAATGCTCTCGAGCATTGTTCCTGCACAGACTTCGTAACCTATGCATCCCGCTCTGGTTGGCCAATTGTTGTGACAAGGGTAACACGCGGTATGTTCTCCAATAGCTCGCGTGGCAAGTTGCGTCCCGATGGCTTGGCTCATTCGCGGGCACCAATGGACTATCGGGAAAATATGCGGGTGGGGGAGACAGTGTTCTGCAGGACCTGGCCGGAACAGATCCGGTGGTAGACACGACGGCGACTGTACCAGTCAAACCTCGCCAAGCTTGGCGTCCATAATCACCCCGAGGACCTTGATATGGTCCTTGGGTTGAATAGTTTGTCCCTGATTGTGAAGGGCTGAGAGGCTGTCTTGTATTCCTTGCGAGTGAAGTGGATTATCGCTGTCTTATCTGCTTCGAAAGTCGCCCCGCTTCTCTCCCATTCTAGGGCGGCGTCAATAATTGCTTCTATGCCTTGCCGGTTGCTCTCTGCTGTAGGCCCTGTGACCCAGGCGTTAAGGTCGTCGATGAAGGCTATGGCTCCTCCATGAGCATTGATCCGCCGCTATACGAGGTCTGCGTTGAAGAAAGGGAATACGATAGGGGATAGGGGCGAGCCCTGTGGCAGGCCGGCCTGTGGCAGTCTTCGCGATTCGGAGGCCTGTCCATTGACTTGGATCGAGGCTGTGCGGTCTGAGCAGAAAGCTTCCACCCACTGGCAGAGCTCTTCTGGTATGCCTCGAGCCTTCATTCTTTGCAGTAGTCTCTCTTTGCACACTCCATCACAAGATAGAGGCGTGACCACAACACTATTGCTTGTCCAGGCACGAACACGGCCCATCCCAACACCCCTAAGTATACGGGCGCGAATTTATCTGGGTTATCGGAATAGAAATAATAGGCACTTCCAAAGGTTGATATAGCGAGGCCGCTGGTTGCCACGATCAGAGACCAAAAGTAACATCCTGAATATCGCCTGAACGTGGCAAAAAACGAGAATAGTAACTTCGATAGCATTCGGTAATGTGAGGGCGTAGAAAGGAGTGAACAAGTAAGTATTGGATAAAACGCGAGCTAGTGCTCGCCTCCCTTGTAATCCTCATGGTGGGACTCTGCTCTGATCAGTCATGATGGGTCGCTGGCTTGATATACATCAAGGCGACATTCGTAAGCGAACCTGAAATGGTGACCGAATTGTTTTGTAGCTATGGCCCCGTCTAGAACACATCGCCGTCAATGGCAAATCATTTATTCGGGGGCGCGATTCAGCCAACACACGGGGAGTTCCGCACAACTCTTGCATCGGGCTGCAATCAAGAGTGATACAATACGTTGTCAATTTGCATACCCAGAGAAGAATCACCCTTGGTGGGCGATACCCTGACGGATCCAGCAATATAGCCGACGCTTTCAAATCACCAATGAGACGACTCCAGCACTTCCAACCCCGTCCTACAGGGCGAGAGCAAAGCGAAGATCGAAAGCATCAAAGCATCAAAGCCTTTATGCACCCGCCAAACCGGGCAGACATGTGAGGAGTTGGATGGACGGCTTTGTGATTGCTGTGGGGGAGGGGTCGCAGATTGGACCGGTGGGCAGGTCCGGACAGCAAAGGAACTGGAGCGGTTCGAGGACAAGATGGATGACCGGCACTGTGGGTTCAGTTGGGCAAAGTATAGGCGAGAGCGGGCAGAGCATACGTACACGCGCTTTGCCCGACGCGGCGGTGGCTAAACCGAGGAGGGCTTTAGTTTTTGGGCTAGTCCTTTTTAGGTAGTATCAAGATACTTAAGACAACAATCCTGTTCTGATCATGGGCTGGCTAATTCCTCAACGAACTATTCTTGTGCGTTCTCCAATTGGTCCGGATATCTACAAACTCAAGCTAGGGGAAGACAATACACAAATAGGAATGGTACGAAAGAGGTTGCTAGTCCATGTGTGGGTAGCGGTAACTCCCATACTTATGACTGAAATCCTTATCCTTTCACTGTTATCCAAGTCCATTGAGAACACATAACCGCTATAGCCTACTCACCTTTCTACCCCCTCCGACCTAAAATGCCCCGCCAGCGAACATCCTGCTATACCTGTGCATTAATCAAAACGGCGTGTGGCCAGGGCCAACCTTGCACACGATGCCAAAGTTAGAATCAACTTGCCCTTGCTCTTTTGATTGGGACCGATCAAGAATCTCCATACTGACCATCTCATCTAGGGTTGTCTCTAACTTGCGACTATGGACCCACAGCCCCAAGGAACCGCAGGAGAAATGACGCTGAGGATACGGCGTCTCGAACTCGTGCTAGACATCGCAAATCGAGGAATGGTTGTCTAAATTGTGCAAAGAGGTGATATAATGTGCTTGAACTTATTTACACCACATTGGCGTCTGACAGAAGCATAACTAGACGAAAGAAGTGCGATGAAGTAGCTCCTCGATGTGGGGAATGTAGACGGCTTGAGATCGCAGATTGTCAAGGGAAAAGCACAGCATCCTTTCGGCAGACGCCATTAACAAGCTTTCCGGCGGTTTCTGAATTCGATGGTGATAGGAATAATCTCCCGAATCAAGACCTGAACGATGTTGTTGATACTGCCCTGAGCACTAGCGAATATCTCAGCCACGTTGCTCTGATGCCTGAAAGCGACATTGCGGAGATGGCTAGACGTGGCCATCTAAAGGACAGCAATGCATTAAGGGGGCAAGAGAAAGATCAGGATCCCCAAAACAATCCTATTCTCAAGAACTTCCCTAGGGTGTCTCATTGGGACTTTACTGACTGGGACCCCGTGGAGCAATATCTGCTCAATCATTTTCTGGAAGTTGTCTCACGGTCCTTCGTCGTTGTCTTTGATGATGAGAATCCGTTTCTTCAGGAAATCCTTCCCAAGGCATCAAATGTCAGATCCGTACGACATGCAGTGCTAGCTTTGACAGCTTGCCACCTCTGTAAGTTATATCCGAATTTTGAAGGCAGTGTGGTGAGGCACCAAAGTCTTGCATTGTTTTTGCTGAAAAAGGATCTCGAGTCCGGAAATGACATCGAAAACACGCTCGTGGTGTCGCTCTTATTATGTTTATTTGAAGTGAGCCGTCTCCACTCCCTTTATGTATAGAAATTCGAGTGCTAATCAGACAGATCTGCCAAGGAAATTCCAGAAAGTGGATTCTACATCTATATGGTTCCAAGGCCTTGATTGACGTATCCCTTAGCCAAGGGACCGGCAGGAAATTATCACAGTTTCTACTAGACTTGTATAAGTTCATCTGCTGCAAAGCAATGATAACCTGCGAAAAGGTCCCAGTCATGCCATGCGGCTTCGAGTCCCTCCAGAATGTGGAACCCGAATCAATCAGTTCAATTCATCCCCTCGTCGGTCTCGCTGGCGATCTGTACAACAAGCTTTCAGAAATAAGCCACCTAGCTGTCCGACGCATGTCACGTCATGCAACGGCCACAAGTGCAGGTATCTTCACAGCTAAAGCGTCTGAACTGGAAGCATATCTTCAATCATGGCAAGCCCCAAAATATGGACATAACCGTCGACTGTTTAATGAGGCCGTTTATGCCGCGGAAGCCATTCGATGGGCTGCTCTCCTTCGACTGTACCAGGTCGTTGATGGGTGCGTTATCAACCCAGAGAAGCGCCAGAACGCACTAAGCCATGTGGAATATTTTATTTCTCAGATCCGCCCAGGATCATCGCTCGAGGCGCAGCTTTTGTTCCCGTTGTTCATGGCGGGCTTAAGTGCAACGAGAAGAGCAGAACTGCTCAGTATTGAGTATCGAATAACAGTTTTGGAGTCGACAGTGGGGACTGGAAATATCACAGGCGCGCACAAATTACTAGATCTTTTCTGGGAAAAGAGTCAATGGGGAACCGGGAATGTTGACTGGGAGTTCCTGTTGCAAGAAAAGCATGCAAATGTGGTTCTTTATTGAACCTTTACAGAACGATAATTTATGATCTCAGTGTAGGTATACAGCCTATTGTAATTCCAACTTCATACACGTTTAAATAAACCATTTTTACTTGACTAATGTTGAACTGCGCTGCTGGCGTTCGGTAGAATAGGATATGATAATTCCGGTGTCAGCACGAGTAGGGTCAAATTAATCAGAAGTGAAATGCATATTGTATTAATCTAGCTACTGTAACTACTATATATACAGTAGAGCTCTACTCCGGAGCTGATCTCGGAGTAGAACATCGGAGTAGAACATCGGAGCAGAACATCGGAGTAGAACTCCGGAGTAGAACACGGGCACGGAGTGAGAACTCCACAACTAATCGAGTGGGTACATTTTCTTGGTAGTGTTGCTTGATTAAACAAGTATTATAGAGCTTAATAATTTACCTTAGTGAAATCGTATGAAAGTAAAGCCTTCTAGGCAATCCGAAACTGCATGAGAAACTGCAGATTATCGTCATGAACAATAACTCCCGCAATGATCTCAGCTGGCGTTGGTTTTTATTTAGCTCTACAAGATGTCATGTGGCATATGGACCCCAGTTGAAATAATATATACCCTCTCCAACAGAACATGCTTAGTTAACAGCAGCCCCCTCCCTTCACTGAGACCCTTATGTCCTCATCTAGATCACGAACCTTGCTATCCTCCTCAAAGTCCTTCCACACCTGAGTAGCCACAGACTCATCAGAGAGAATCTGCCAGCCCGCAACTGCCATGCCCTTGGCAGGCTCTAGACATAACTTATGAGCGATTTCAGCTCCAGCAGCAGCAGTAAAACCCGCTGTATGGTTATATGAGCCCGGGTCTGCGGGGATACCGACGTATCCTTGGAAGGCAGGACACTCATAGGATACATTCCCTAAAATAGAAAATGAAGCTGTTAGTCTGTGAAATTATGAGGAACTTCGTTATTAACCAACCTTGGTCAGTAGATCCAGGCACCGGTGGTGAATTGACATCGCATCTCACCGGGGAGCCAATCTTATTCATAGCATCAGCATAAAGGGTCGAGATGGGCTTGTTCGGACGAACGTCGGCATAGGTATTAATGCTGGGGAATGGTCAGCGGGTGTAGAGGGGGGCAAGAGAGGCTATTACAGTTCTGTCTCGACTTTGCAGCCAGTTTGAATAGCAGCACCTTCAAAGCATGCGACTACTCGCTCCATCAAGGCATCTGCCGATTTCAGTGAGGTGCTACGGACATAGTAGTCCAAGGAGGTGTGTGCTGTGATGATATTTGGTCGTTTACCTCCTTCAGAGATAACGCCATGTATTCTTTGTGCGGGCAGGATTTGCTGACGCAGTGCACTAACACCATTATACCCAAGAACGACGGCATCAAGGGCGTTGACACCTTGCCAAGGCGACATGGATGCATGTGCTGCCTTTCCAGTAAATCTGACGGTAAATTTCTTATTTGCCAGAGTCGGCATATAAGCGTCTCCAGTGTATCCAGCACACCCATCCTCTGGGCCTGGATGGATCATCATACACGCATCAACGTCGCTGTATGCCCCCGCTTCGATCAATTTCAATTTCCCACCGCCACCTTCTTCTGCAGGCGTTCCAAGAAGCCGGACCCGACCTTGGATCTTATACTTTTTCAATGTCTCTGCAAGTGCTATGAAGGCGCCGATGGACATTGTTGCTATGAGATTATGCCCGCATGCATGGCCTATATCCGGTAGAGCGTCATATTCCGCGTTGAAAGCGATAACTCGACCGCCGAAGCCAAATTCAGCCATCAAGGCGGTCTGGATGCCGTATGCATGCCTAGTAACTTTGTAGTCGAGATTCTCTAGTAGAGAGGCCACGTTGTCATGGGCTTTGAACTCTTCATATCCTAGTTCTGGATTTTCGTGGATCTGACAGAGTAGACTGTTAAATAGAGACGCCAAAGATAAAGTTAAGGCGTACCTTGCGATTTATCTCATGGAGAATCGCGTTTCTCTCTTCTATCGCCTGTTTGATAAAGTCGATGATGCTCTCGTCCTGAGTGCCGTACTTGATGTCCATGTTGTTCGAAGATCTCTTGATGTTGACAGGGTATCTAAAAGAAAGTTCACGTGTTTTATCCAAGGGGAAAAGGGAGTACAAGTGAGTGATTGATTTCAAGTATAGACTGTTGTATTTATAAGTTTAAATGTCCACAAATTTCTCGCCGCTAATCCATCGGCATCCTATGTGTAAGAGAAACCAGCAAGGAGAGTGGAACTATGTGTCCTTTTTGGGGTTAGAATTTGTAACAGCATCAACGCAGTCACAATCCGTTATAAAATCGGCGTCGGCTTTGTTCAACTTTGTTTCGGCCATCACGTCCAAGGTATGGATTCCGGTCTAAATACGACGGCAATGGCTGATGGCGCCTGATAGGGAACGACGGCTATCGGTCTTATCGACGGATGACATAAATTCTCGGAGTTCGGCAACAACAGAATGCCGTCGTATTGCCCCTGAGACTGCGGGAAGATGTCAGTGAGATCAGACCCAGCCCAGTCTGAATACGACGGCGATGGCTGATGGCGCCTAGATAGGGATGCGTGAGTACGACGGCTATCGGCCTTATCGACGGATGACGTAAACTCTTGGAGTTCGGCGCTAACGGAATGCCGTCGTATTGCCTCTTGAGACTGCGGGGAAAATGTCAGTGAGATCAGACCCACCCCGACCTGGACTTACTCCGTATGGAAGGAAGCGTGGGAATTAGCCCCTGCCGTGGAAAGCCGTCGAATCGGATGCCGTCGTATAATGGTAAGCTTTGAACGAGGAGAAGCTAAACATCATTCTACCAGGAGCGACCACTTCGAAAACAAAGGAGAATGGTCTCGTGAAGTAGCGTAGAGATAACGATGCACCATCGAGAGGTCACTTGCAGCTTCGGCGTCGTAGTTACATATATCACGCCTCTTCTTCCCTCAGAGCAACCTGATTCATAGCATCCCCTAGACAGGTCGTCATCAACCATACTCCATCTTTCCACCCGACCTCTAGTTTCCTCATGGCTAATATGGTCCGCTCTGTGTCCAGCACCAAAGATGCAGAAATGACTCTTCACATTGAAACCGATAAGGGTGATGTTTCTCTTCGGATCCTCGAAGGCCAAACAATACCTCTGACAGAGGGTTTAACACCGGAGGAGGATCGTCGCATCCTTCGCAGGATTGACATATGGTGTGTCCCCCCTTTGAAAAAATGCTCTAGATTCATTAGTTAATTCGCTACAGCATTCTTCCTGCACTATTCGTTACCTTTCTCCTGCAATTCGTCGATAAGTCAGCCATGGGATACACTGCTGTCCTCGGCCTGCGGACCGACCTACACCTAGTTGGCCAAGACTACTCCTGGGCCTCCAGTTTATTCTACTTTGGCTATCTTACGGCCTCTGGCTTGGTAGCGATCTTGCTTGTTCGTCTACCTGTTGGTCACTTTATGACCATTGCAATGTACGTATCGTTAGGGTCACTATCCCCAAACTTTCATCCTATCTTCCACCCACCGACCTGGTATAATGCATCAGTTGCTTCGAAGCCAACGTTAATCTGAGATAATGGCACTTAGTGCGATTTGGGCGGCAATTCTTATGCTTACGTCACTGTGCACCAACGCGTCTGGACTCTGGGCTGGCCGTTTCTGCCTTGGATTTGTTGAAGCAGCCATCGCTCCTGGTATGACCATGATTATCTCAATGTGGTACAAGCGTTCTGAGCAGGCTCTACGACAAAGTGTATGGTTTATGGGTAACGTTACAGGAGGACTTTGCGGTGGACTCCTTGGATATGGCATTGGACACATCAATAGTATCGCACCCTGGAAGGTCAGCAGAGCCCCACAAGGCTGTAGATCAGTATGCTTGACACTGCTGACACATTATCTCATAGGCTCTTTTCTTAATCTTTGGTGGCTTAACATTGTTTTGGTCCATCTTCTGTTGGTTTCTCATTCCGAATAGTCCTGTGGGCGCCTGGTTCCTCGAGGAACAAGATCAGTATAAAGCGATCGAACGAGTCAAGGACAACTTGACTGGCATAAAAAACAATCATGTTAAGTTTGACCAAGTGCTTGAAGCATTTAAGGATCCCAAGGTCTGGCTGCTCGCCGCCATCCAGTTGACTCAGAACGTTCCCAACGGAGCACTGGGGTCGGTAAGTTACCTGCATCTCTTACTGTCTGTGCGATGTAGCTACCTTGAAATATTTTGCTGCGGATTTCAATGATTCTAAACGGTTTGAATAATGACACGGGTGCTTTTGTCTAGTTCTCGTCTATCGTGATTAACGGATTCGGGTTTTCGACTCTTGATACTCTGCTGCTTCAAATGATTGGTTTTGGGTTTCAGGGATTATTCTGCATCATCTCAGCAATTGGGTGCACATACCTTCCCAATACCCGTACCTATTTCATGGCATTTAATACCGTCATGTCTCTCATCGGTACCATCATGATTCGCCAGATCGATCACAATCATATTTGGGGTCGATTTATGGGTTATTGTCTAACAATTGTCTTCTCGGCCAATTTTCCATTAATCTTAGCCACGATTACCTCGAATATTGCCGGTTTCTCAAAGAAAGTCACTGCTACTGCTATTGTAAGCTATAGAGGTCACCCATTTCCCATGGAATATACTAGGATATTAACAAATCGATTTAATATAGGTGTTTATTGCATACTGCACCGGGAACATCATCGGCCCTCAAATCATGTTCTCTCGAGAAGCACCAAGCTATCCTTCTGGATTTGCGGGGATTTTGGTCTGCTTTTCATGTTCCATCATTCTCATTTTCGTGTTTCGCTTCTACCTCATGTGGGAAAACAAGAAGCGCGATGCCGCCGTGAGCGAGCCGTCCCAAAGCATTCAGATTGATGGGGAACGCATATCCACCAGCGCCCTCAATCTGCTCGACAAGACAGACCGCGACCTTCCTCAGTTTCGCTACGTATATTAAAGGTTCTAGGACTTTATTTTTCTTCTTTCTTGCGTTGGGGAATGGTTAGGCCATGTGGCCTGACTTCGGTGGCTCACATGTGTTGCAATATTACCCGAGCGTCGGGGATGACCACCAAAATCCCAACATTTATGATCAGAATACACGCCTCAAAATGATTTTATGAACTTGGTCAAAGTAATGATGCCTTAATTCATCTCGTTATCTTTTTAATTTCAGATTTGATAAAACAAAAGTATCTACATGACATTGTAAAAAGCTACCGTAACCATTTCATTAAGTTAATTCAAGCACTACCCAGCCCTGCAACTTCGCAGCCGTCATTTCATCAAAGATCTACATAACTATTAGTACGGCTTACATTCTAATGTTACTGCTGCAATGTCTACAAAGAAAATAAGCTAAAACATACCTCTGTCAAATCCTCCATCTTCTTGATTATATAATAGCATTTTACCAAACCACACGCTGCAAGTTCAAGAGCTTCTAATGCCTCGAGTCTAGTTCCAACCGCAGAACCTATACAAATTACAAGTAAGCACATGGTCTTTCGGAAAAGCACGGGGCCTTTGTACCTATGATCCTAAATTGTTGTACTGTGATCTTCGCTGGATGCGCAGACTGAATCGGTATGGGCGTTCCCTCTAGCATCCTAATGCAGACCAGCGTGCCTTAAGGCTTCAAGAACTTCAAGCCTTGCTCATAACTCTTGTTCGCTGCACTAACAACTAGTACCGCATTCGCTCTGCGGCCATTATTTGCAATCTTCTTGATCGTAGCCTCAAGCTCTTCGTTAGTGTGCTGCATGAAATTAAGAAATTCTTCTACGCCGCACTCCTTGCACAAGGCTTCTTTGCTGCTTCCGTTAATGGCAATAACGCGGAAACCCATGGCACGGGACGCATATTGCACTGCCAGATGACCAAGTCCTCCGCCGGCACTACTAATGACAACCTAGTCACTAGGCTTAGCGCCGGATTTCTTTAGCCTGGAATAAACTGTGAGGCCTGCGCAGAGAATGGGAGCTGCTGTAGCAGAGTCTATTCCATCTAGGATAGGAGTTGCGTAGGTTGCTGAGGTGGTGACGTACTGTTAGAAGGTACCAGGGGTGTAGTAGCCTGAGATCTTTTGCTTTTCGCATGTATTGTCGTCGTTCTCGAGACATGACGCTGTGAGCAAGTAACGTCAGCATATATAATCAGTTTCTATGGAGTACCAGCTAATAGTGCTTTGAGGAAAAACTTACGACATATGTTGCATACGTCTGCAAGCCATTTTATGCCCACTCTAGATCCAATCGCTAGCATAGTGACGCCTAGACTATGACTAAGTACTGTTCCGACGCCTTCATGACTACTAATTTGGCCTTATCATTAATCAGCAATGCTGCGTTATTTGGGTTTGCAAACCAATAGACCTGCTTTTGTTAGAAACGGTAGAACAGCCTAGGATTAGAGGCAAACACCAAGATCAGAATGGCAGACTCTAGAATGAGTACTATGAGAAGTTAGCCATTGCTAATTCGAAATTACCACATCTTTAGACACTTACAGCTTTACTAGTATTTGCCCATTAATGGGTACTAGGATACTTAGTTGTTCAATCTTCGTCTTTGTTGAGCCAGGCTCTGCGTACACGACGGCCTTATTCACTTTATCATCCTAAACAGCCATGCCTTCTAATTGTTCTACAAATTAGTTTTCTAATTGTCTAGTAATCGTTCAGTAGCTTTATATTACTCGTTGTATTTGCTGCAGATTGCATAAAGATGTAAGAGGAATCATTACAGACAAACGGGTGGATATATCTAACCGCTGGATTATAGGCATGTTGTTCCTGTCCCTAGGTTGTTTCCTGAAGTGAATTTGTTAATTATAGACTGTCTCCAAGTGATCGTTCTTTTTCAAGCCTAGTGTACGGAAACGGAACGCTTCCGTTTCCGATCTTAGCCTTGGCGTTAGAAGTCTGGGGTCCCCGCCATCGCCTTTTCCGCACCAGCGTCTCATTCTAACTCGAATGCGAGTAAGGATCACAGAATCCGGTACCTCATCCTAGCAGCGAGATATTTCTGGGATATTTGTAAAACCTACAGCAGAAGAAATTACAGAGGTATAGGGCATAGGTTTTGTTAGGACAGGCGGAGCGCAGCTGGCAAAAACAAATCAGAAGTGAGCTAGGTACGCTGAGTCGTGTATTTCTAGACGATGCTTTAGTGAGACGTACATCATATTCCTTAAGCAGATACCTTGATCTTATAGACTAACACTTATTATTGAAAAGAATGGTGATTAAGTTCTAACTGATGTAGAAGGCAGTCTGTGCACGTAATAGCGGCAGATTAATGGCAGCCTGAGCTTTGTTATCTGTCTAGAGCCTACAGTTAGCTAGCTAAGAGTCAATTAGCAATCGTATGGCATATGGGTAATTCACTCACACCTCAGAACTAAGTCTTATAAATACACATGCTCTTTTTAACACTTACGCCCTATACATCTGTAAAATCGCGACTATGTGTGACATACCGCTTTATCCTGCCTTACATGTAAGAACTCAAAATCAAAGGTTTCATCTTACATCGTCAAGACTGTTATATACGCATCGCGGTGTTAATATTGTCACTGTCTAGGGTACTAATTAATCTTTAACGGATCTGAGGGATTCTTAAACTCTAGTCTAGAGAACGCACCAAACTTAGCATTCCAAAGGTCCATAAAGTAGTTGCTCCTCCGTTTCCATAGTCCTACATCTCCCCCCTTTAGCAATTCTTTTAATCCCTCTCGAATATATGTGCTCTTCAAATTCATTATGCTTTCAGAGTGAATCTCACTCTCATCCTACACTCTCGGTGTTACACTTGCTATACCTTTAGACTTTATGTATCGCATGATTCTACACACCAGCTAAGCCGTTGCATCAGATCCTAGTGTCTAGGAAGCGTTAGAGTAGCCCATGACGAATGCTGCGTTTAGGAGATCTTAGACTAAACTCCCTTTCCATATATACTTGTCTGAAAATTTGACGGGAATTCCATTAATAGAGACCATTAATCCGCCTGCGAAAGTCATTTTTAGGCTGGTAGCAGTGATGATAATATCAGCATCTAAAGTATTTCCGCTAGTCGTGATAATGCCAGTCTCCGTAACGGTCCTGATGGTATTAGTAACAATATCTCCCTTTCCTTTCCTTAGAGCCTCATAAAAATCACCATTAGGACAGATACAGAGACGCTGTTCCCATAGATTATATAAGGGTTTAAAATTCAGGTCTTGTGGAATAGAGCTCGGAAGTTCTTTCTTAGTGGCGTATTTAATTAGCGCCGTCGCCATTAAAGGGAAGGCGCGATAGAAATGAAACATAAGGAATAGTTCTAAGAGATTTTTTATACGAACAGTGCGGTTGGCTATGAATGCTAGGAAGAAGCTGCGAAGAAACCATTCCCAAGAATCGACAGATGGCCTTGTTATGACGTAGCTTAGACTTTGTTGCAAAATTGTGACTTTGAGCGCTTTATCTACGAGGTTTAGGAGAAGGGTCACTACTGTGGCCCCGCTACCGATGATAACAATCCTTTTGCTAGACTAATCGAGGTCTTCCGGCTAGAACTAAGGGTGAATCTTTATGCCTTTAAAGTTATTAATTCTAGGAATGTTTGCTTCTAATGGCACCTCATAATCGTAATATCCAGCCCCAAAGATCAGGAATCGCCCTCTTAAATGTCGTCTCTCACCATCAGCATCCACTGCTAAAGACCACAACTAGTTCGTTAACGGCTAGTTAGCTCTAACAAGCTTGTGGTGAAATTGGATGTGCTTGTTAATGTTATATTCAGCGGCCGATTCAACCATATATTTCCTAATTAATGCGCCGTCGGCAATGGACTTCTTCTCTAACTAAGGTCGCTATAGGAAGGCAAAGGTGTAAAGATCGGAATCAGAGCGAATGCCTAGATATCAAAATAAATCCCAAGTGCTGCCTATAGACCCTCGGGATTCAAGAATGGTGTATGTACATCCTAGTAGCGCCGTTTAGACTCGCTTGGCAGCGTTAATTCTAGAGATACCTACGCTAATTATCACAACGTCGAAGTCTGTAGGGTTTGAATTCGCCATTTTCAGAAGTCGCAGAGAACCTAGAGAGCAATAGAACGAATATTCCTAAGTGAATTAAAGGCCAATATATAATAACCTAGATTGTCTTTCAAATAGAGGTCTTTCTCATTGAATGCCTCATCGTCGGCGTCGGAAATTCCAGGAAGGGGTGGAAATTCCGGAAAGGGCGGAAATTTGCCGCAGACCTACGAATCATGCTCGTGAGGTTGTAAGCTCCGAGTTTGGACAACGACGAAAAGCCGCCCTGATCTATCCCGCATCCCATCATTTCCCCACAAACTTCCCCACAAATAGAGGCGACGCGTGATTTGTAAGGCGGTGCAACGACGACATTCCTGCGCTCTTTGCATCTTTCTCTGCCATAGTAACTAAGGCCAGAAAAAGCTAACAGGCGTTTCAAAACTGTCCTTTGAGGTGAAAGTGACTGCAGAGATGAACAGGAGCGGATGCACGCCCTCGCCACGAGCGAGGCGGCCGCCGTCGAAGCGCTAGCGCTACACCCGTAATGCATGGTATAAATCGTTCACTTTTACCTCCCCTAAGATCCTGCTAATCATCATGATAGCAATGAATGCAAGCGACGCAAGGTTAAATGCAGCGGCGAGTCTAGCTGTCAGCAATGTTTAAGGCAAGGTTACTAGTGTACTTACAGTTATCTCTCCTCCTTAGAAGAACTAAACACACCATATTCATTCAGGTAAGTGGCTAATGCGATATATAAAGGGACTGAGACTAATCATAATCCCAGAAGCCTAGAAAGTAGAGTTTTGCAATTACAAGCGTCTCTAGACGAGGCCTTGAAACATGTGAAAGTATTCGGTCATCCAGTAGCCTCTGATGCAGGGCTGTAAGATCTGATCCGGCAAATTGCGCAGCAGATTAAAACGTGCAAAACCGGGTTACAATTTCATCCACAAATCAAGGCAACAAGACTAGGTAGTCCGGCAGAAGCAGTTTCTAGAAGTAATGGGGTTAGGACAGCACAGCTCAAGCTCACTTCTTCATGCGACATCGCATCTCCCTAAGAGTCAGAGCCTATAACCAACGATATCCACTAAACAACTCGATCATAGGCTTAAATTGCGCCTCTACCGCTTTTAAAGATCCAAACATTTAAATTGCTAGACTACTTCTAGGATGAGGTGGAAAGCATTTATTCCTTTATTCAATTAGATTGCTTAATAAGTCTTGCTGATGTTCTCCTTGATTCCTCAACCACAACGTTAGATTCTAGCATGAATATGCAGACTAAAGAATGGGGGGATACATTTAATGGCTGGAACTTAGACCTTCTAATGTTACTACTTACTTGCGCACTAACTTCAAAACTGAACAGAGAATGTGAGGTGAGCTATGAGATGATAAATATCGTCTGCGGAAAGCTCTCTATCAAGATGAGGGGCTCGGAGTTTGACCTGAAGGATATTACAGTTACAACCTTGTTAGTAAGTTTTTTTAGATATTCACTTGAAGCATAGAAGATTTGGCTCACTTTTAGAAGAGCATTTACCATCACTAATGTGGTGACACCACTCTTGCGTGGCGAACGATTAGTACTGCGGCAAAAATGTATATAGAACTTAGACTGCATAAGTCCACAAGCACAACGGTTTCATAGGCTCCAAAGTTGTTTTAGTGCATATATATATTAGATCAGCGTTACAGCTTTATGATAAATTTACCTTTCACGCTTCATGATTCAGATATAGATTGTAAACTACTAATGCCTATAAGTTATTGTTTCTGTTTTGATTTTAACAGAGCTGACGGTTTGCAAGGATTAGTCTAACCCGTATCTTTCACCCTTAATCAAGCATATTCGTCTTGCAACGAGAATTATAACAGGTCTTCTGAAATTTAGGAGCAACTCTAGCTTTATAGATTAATCAGCTTGCAAATCTCTAGACATCAAGATTAATCAATGGGCTCTAGATACCTCAACAGAGTTCTTGAGATAGGAGACACGACCTCTAGGGCCCTCTAGGACGTCTCAAAAGATTCGACTTCAGGAGGTATTCATTACTATGTGTTGTAACCAGTTGAAGATTACACTCTACAAATGTAATCTCTTCTCTCCTGAGAATATAGCTCGAAACCCAAACTTTGCCTACAGTGCGGTGTTTTACGCCATTAATACTTTACAAGTTTTCAGCCGTCTTAAAAGAA